CCACGTTCTGCCCGTTGATCCGGGTGAAAACGTTTGTGCCGACCCTGCGGGGAAGCGCAGAGCTGTGGTTACTGGCCCAGCAGGGGCCTGCGCTCGGCGCTGCCCCATACATTAGAGGGGGGAAGGAGGCAGGGGCAGAAGGTGCATGAGCCTGAGGAGAGAAGCCCAAAGAGGGACACCCCATCCCCAGGGCGCCCGGCCTGGGTGCTGAGCACCGCTGTCTGGGGAACGCCCCTCCTCCAGGCTCCATCTCACGGGGGTCCCAGCAGCGCCATGCAGGGGCAGGTAAGGGGCTGGCAGGCAATTCCTACAGGTGCTACCTCACAGGGGCACCCAGCCGCCAGCCGAGGGAGGCAGCGTGGCTGTGGGCACCCCGCACTGGCCTGGCCTCAGAGCCACCCAGCAGCACCCAGGGGTGGGCAGGGGCTCCGCGGGCTGCACGTCCCAGTGGTGCTCAGCAGGGCTGTTGGGGGCAGGGACCCATCAGCAGCCACCTGCTCAAAGCTCCCCTTGGTGCCCGCCAGGGCAGGCAGCCCCCTGTAGCCCCCCACCCCTCCCCGCTCACACTAAGAGGAGCCAGACAGCGCGACAGAGAAAGACAAGGCACCTGCAGGCTCCGCAGCCACCCCAGCATGTGTGCGGGGAGGCGCATGGAGCAGCACCACGCGGGAAAGGCACTACCAGCTGGATGAACTCCCCAGGGCAGCTTCCCCCTCACTGCCAGCCCCCCACTTCCTGGGGGCTCAGAGTAAGGGGGCTCGAAGCAGGGACGGGGCCAGGCCCTGCTGTCCCGGCTCTGCAGGCAGCACCTTCACTCCTGGGCAGTCTGTGTCCCGTCACCCACCTGGTCGCTTCCCAGCCATTTGGGGCTTTGGCCTTCTCTCGCAGCAGCCACATGGTTTCCAGAATTTCCTTCCCGTTCTCGTCCACAAAGCACTGGCCCGTGAAGACGGTGGTTGAGTCTGCCAGGGAATGAAGCAGGAGTTCGGGTGAAAGTCAGAGCTGCCCTCTGTGTCCCCCACAGTGTGTGTGTGTGTCCCCCACAGCGCAGCTCGTGTCTGGGCCAGTAATAGAGTCCCCGTGCCAGCAGGCTAGGCTAGTGCTCCTCACCATAGTGTCTGAGCCCCCATAGCGCACCGAGCCACGTGACTACTCATCTGCCTGTCGCCCTATGTTGCTCTGTAGTTACGCTAGAGAAGGCAGGTTCCAGAAACACGCCTGGCCTGGGAGCGGAAGATGGCCAAGCATGTTTGTTCCCAGCGTGCTCGCCGTTACTGCTGAGGCCAGGCCAAGGGTTGGTGCCAAGAGCCCTAAAAGGGGAAAGAGGGGAGGCAGGGATGGAGGCTACTGGACGCACGGGAGCAGGAGGCGGTTGTAGATCAATCTCTG